AGCGGTGGTGGCTTCCCTCCTCCCTGCTGAGCTGCGGGGAAGTCCCCCGGCCCCGCTGCATCGAGGATGCCCGAGCAAGGCCGGGTGCCTAGCAATGAGGAGAGAAACATGGGTGCAGGCGAGGTTTTGTGTGCTTGTTCAGTGAGGGGCAAAGCTCCCTCCCAACTGCATTTGTGTGCGGTTTTTCAATCTGCAAAAAATGTACAGGTGTTTATAACTGTCTGCAAAGATAAACTCTTCCTTTTTTCAAGTGCTGAAACTGGCTTTCTTCATGTAAATGGTGTTGCATGATTTATTCCAGTTGGCTCTGCACCTGCCACAGACATTTAACCATATAGAAAGAAACAGCACTCCTCCAGCCAGGTCCCTGACCTGAGGGGCTTCAGTTCCTCTTTGTAACAGAAGGCACCAAAATCAAGAGGCCTGTGCTTTCTGCAATATGCAGCTTTCTCTAGCTGCATTTCAAATTTTTTCATCTTTATGAATTAGCCTAATAGTTAGAAAGTGGAGAGCAGCTTAATTTCCTTGTTGGCCTATGCAGTTTAAATATCTCCTACCTCCCTGAGAAGTTCCACAGCCAACACAGATCCAAGCTACACTGGACGGGGTTCCCTTTTCTGTTGAAGCTGTGTAATGGCTATGGGGTTCAAGTTTCACTGGGCTGTGCTTTGTAACCCAACACTGGGGTTTCCCAAGAGGGGAAGCAGGAAAACTGGAAGAAATCCACAGCTGCTGAACTCACCAGGGACTCAGCTGAGATGCTGTTCACTAGGCTGTCATTTCATGGCTCCATCTACTCTACCAGTTTCATGCACGCTCACCCTTTCTGACACAGGAAGAGCTTTCTCATCACTGGCATCTCCTCTCTCTCTGCACTGTTGCCTCTCCTCTATAATTTTAAGCAGTTCCCTGAAAACTAGAATGGAACATCTTCTGAAAAGGAAGATGTGCACAAGGAAACAACAACAACAACAACAACAAAAATTGCCAAGTGCTGGTTAGTAGCTGAACATTCACTCAAGGTATACGAAATATGAGTTCTGCTGACAGTATTGTTTCTGTATTTCACCTTAAAAGCTGTTAGGATTTGTCTTCTTTGTCTCCAATTCACACATTGTTCTGTCTCTCATGAGATGCAGAATTCTTTCTTACTACACAGGGAGTTTAGACTTTCACAAATGTCAAATATTTGCTTGTAAATCTAAACCTTGGAACCAAAATTGTGGATTTTTTGCTTTTTAATTCTTAAATTTATGTGCAGAATGGATTTTTTCTGGTGCTCATGAGACCTTGCTTCTGTAATTGTCATGCCCATGGCCATGAGCTCATGTATTAAAAAATTCAAACACTGAAAACTGTTTCAGTACTGGTAGCCATTTTGTCAAGAACAGGCGTAAGATAAGCACTACAAAATAGATGTAATACTTTACAAGTGAAAACACTTTACAAAGTATAAGCTTATAAATAAGAGAATTGTGTCAGTCCTATATTTATTACAGGAGCCTTGCTATTAATTAATTAAAAATCTGATTCAGTACCTTTCCTGCCAAGTCTACAAATGGTTTTAAGTCCTACATTATTTGCCTGTGTTTGTGTGCACACAGATTCAGAGTATTAGTAAAGTTAAAAGCTGTGTAAAGTACAGTTGAAACCCCTCTAGTGTTGAATTAAACTGAGCTCATATAAATCAGCTATACTGAATATTCAGGCAAGGAGTTGTGATCATTTATCTAAATAAGGGAAGCAGTTACATAAGATAAATACAGACAGGGTTCTGCTATTGCCACATGAACAATCTCGGAACAGCACCAATGGTGCTTGCTTTGCTTCAGTGTCAGAGCACGCACAGAGATGCGCTGGAGTTATATCTATTTTACATCCCTAAGACAGACTGCATTCCTGTCTCCAGATTTGGCTCAATGTTTGTTTCTGATTTTCTCTACCTTTTCTCTTGCTACACAAATAAGGAGGAACAGGCTATTACTAAAGTGAATCAGAAAAAAGCATAATACCAATTACTCTTTGAAAACAGAAGAAATAATGAGTACTCTGGTAGTGCAGAAAACAACATTAAACCGCCTTATTTTAAAAGAAATAAAGAGACCGTTTAATACAGCTAGTTGACCTTTTGCTCTCCAGCTCAACTTTGTTTCTCCCACTGTATATTTTTAATAAGACTTAGGCTAAAATCTTCTTCCCACTGACTGAGAAGGTCAGTCATTCACTTTTTGTTTAAGTGCAAAACAGATGGGTGACATTTTTTCAGTATGACAAACATTTCAAATGTTAGATTTTTTTTTTTAAACATGGCTCAGATAAAGGACTTGAAAAAATACTACGGGAAAGGGGAAGAGAAGGCAAAACGTTATTGATATAAACTCTTCCACCTAAAAATTATCATATTCTGAATAAAATATTTCAATCATGTGAACCATGGGTGCAACGACTTTAAAAAAAATTAAATGCATGAAGCATGGACACAGTAAAAAAACCCAAACATTTTGCTTATAAACTATGTATAAGTCCATATCAAGAACTAGAAAGTACAATTTTCTGTAAAGGTATGAATAGAATGTGATCATCATATTTTAAGTAATTTTAACATGTTCCTTCTTACAGTAGGAAAAGTAATGCATGACAAAGGCAGATCATATTTTGAGCCACATGAACAGTAACTTTTCCAATACTAAAATTAAAAAGTGTACATATTTTTAATATGCATTTAAGTGAGACAAAAATGTAACTGAGACAGATGCAGCTATTTTTATCATTTTAGCAGACTTTTTCAGAGCCAGTTAAAAAGTGTATGCTATTGTTAATAGAAAAATATAAACATTACATATTATGCATTTATTTTTGCCTCATTCACTTAGGAAAAGTTGCCATATCTTTTGCTACTTCCCAGAAGGATCAGTCAATTTATTAGAGTAAAACCATTAATTACTTTTAACCAATAGCTCTGTTCAGAGGTATATGTCCTGTCAGAGGTTTACATCCTTACAAAAACTACAGCAACACCACCATTTACTTTTTAGTCAGGAGAGAAAGTAGCTGCCTTCATGCTGAGCTGTTCTGTTTCTTTTTCTTCTTTTGCAGTGGAGATTCCAATTTTTGCTTCTCTGGAGTAATTTTTCTCTTTCCGTTCGCTGTTTTATCACTTTTATCAGTCCAACAAACTTTTCTTTTCCTGACTATTGATGATTTGTCATCTTCATTTGCTGAAAAAAGCAAGGAATTACTCACACTGATATTTATGTCCAGTCTTTGTAGTCTAAAATGGCACAGAGACTAATTTGTATCTAATTTTAAAAAAGGGGTTATAAGTGATTTTTTATTTACAGTGGAATGTGCCATTTATGTAGTTTTGCCTGCTATACAAAAATATCTAAAGATCAAGTATGTAAATACATTATGATACAGGAAAATGACAGAAAAAAAAAACAAAACAACTGAGCCAGACTTCCTAAGTTTGCTCAACAGCATTGTTCTCAGATCCAATTTTGTTTATAGGAAAACAAGACATGCAGTTCTATCAAACTGTTATTCTTTTCTTATCTGTCTTAAAACCTTCACAGTGTCTTTCTCAGTATGTTATTCCAGCAAAGAGAAACAAAACTTTCCTATAACAGAAAAGAGGCTTACGTCCTTCAACATAGGTGCAGCCTTAAAACACTATCAGATTGGTAAGGATATCTGTATCACTTGCCAGAGTCATATCCCCTATTCTTCAAAATACCTAAAATTTTTCCAATGCATACAGTAAGAAACTCCCACTTAGTATATTCTATTTCACAGTCACATCAACAACCTAAAATACACACAGTTCTATTACCTTGAGATGATGTTGCAGCTTTATCAGAATTTTCATTAGTTTCAGAAGCTCGGTCAAGCCATACTGCAAGACATGTCAGTCTAGCTTTGGTATTGACTTCACACAGTAAAGACGGCACATCTTTAATCTGAAGATAATATAGACAAAGATTAATTAAACATGATTTTATTTCTGTTTAAATTTACTGAATATTTGAAGTGAGAATGTATCTTACTGCCCACCTTCCATTTAATTGCTGGTGCCTAACAAAGTTTAGAAATAGAGGCTGTATACAGGTTAATGGTCACATTGTTACAGTCCTGTTCCTGATACCATTCCTCAGTGGTGGTTTTACAAAAAACTCCCAGTGGCTTTAAGAACATACCTTGATAAGCAAGATCAGTGGGTTTCAGTCACATGGGGGTCACATGAGGAATAACTATATGAGTTATAGACCCACAAAAAAAAAAAAATTGTTTCAGAAGTTTCTCCAGAGTAATCAGTATTTTTTGGTACAGCTAAAATAATTTGAAATAAGTTATTGCATAAGATTCCTTTTCTCCCTCCCAAAGACCAGGCTGCTGATTAAAAGTAATCTCTTCAGAGTGTGTTTGAATTGCTTAACTGCAGTTTTATCAGTCAGCTCTGGGAATACTTGAGCAAATATCCTATTACAGATATCAGGGGATAAAGTGGCACAAACACATGTGGCAGCAAAACAGCATCAAGCCATCAGAAACTGCTTGTGTTAGATATTCTGCCTCACAGAGCTGGACAGAGCAGCCCACATAGTTATACAACGTTTTACAAAATTTTGCCTGCAGAGGAGGAAAACCACATATTTGGTCAAAATAATGTTACAGAAAAAGGTAAAGAATTCCCTGATAACGATGTCAATTAAATACAAGGGGAACAGAAATCTGAGGTGAATGGAAAGAAAGGATTTTCACTACTGCACTTAGAAGTATAAGAGTAATTGGGGGGTGAAATTAAAAATAGGCAAATTCAGATGAGATACATAAAGTGTATAAATGTTGAGAGATATTTATTTGAACTATTCAAGATACTTAGAGTAGAATATAGTAGATCCTTTATTACTAGCCATTAAATTCAAAAAATCTAATTATGATATTAAAAGACAAACCCCAGAGGAGACAATAAACACGGGAAACTTTAAAGGTAAGACGTGATTCCTTGTTGAACTGTGCTACTCAGAACTGTTTGAAAATACATGAAATAAAAGTACCCACTACATTAAAGTGTTTGAATTTTTCAAAAGGACAACTTTTTCCTCCTACAACCACCAACTCCCCCACCCAAAATCATAGACTCTGTGTTTTTAAAAGCATAGCAATGGCCATCAACTTTCCAAAAATTCATAGCTGTCCTTAGAACACATATAACTGCTTCGATAGTCCTAATTCTGGACAGGTAGGTCTGAAGGGAATCATGACTTTACATAAGAGGAGATGAGATCTCCACAATATAATCAGATTTTATAGTTTGTTTTAAAAAAATACAAACATACAAAAATGTTCGTAGATGTACACATCTGTACTGAACATAACATAGAGGAAGATCAAGACATTCAGATTTCAAGTAAAATTTCCTCAGTGATGTAAAATTAATCTTTATAATAGAACTGTCTGCAATTTTGGTTGTCTGGTATTTTTCCATAAATGTAACAAGCCATTTAATAAACCAACCTTATTAAGATCCAAATTCCACATTTTAATGTAACCATCACTGGATGCAGTAACAATAACATGTTGTCCTTCTCTTTCAAAACTATAGATATCTTTTATTCTGTGAAGAAAATGTAGTGCTTTGTTACTTTCTAGCATGGCAGTTCACTTCAGAACAGTAAGCTGACAAAAATTAAAGATGAATAGGCAACAGTCTAAAAATCAGTTTGAACAGAAAACCCACAAATGACAGGCAGGAACTTTGAATGATAATCTGTTTTGAGTGCTGTCATTTACAGCAGGAACACTTGCCTTTGCTAGGCTTGTTAGGATTCAATTCAGAACACTTTAATACTTTTAAGTGCACACTATTAACCACATCAATGACATTTTAGCTAACACTTTTGTGTTTTGATAAATTCAAATCAGTATTTGGGCAAATATTTGGTATTCAACAACAGAGAACACGTGATTACCCTCCTATTGTCTGGACTGAGTACAACTTGTTTTATTTGAACATTCCAAAGTGTCAGAATCTGTAAGGACTGACCAAGAGAAGACAGGAGAACATCGCCAGATGTCTTCCTACCAAGTTTGCCTGTCCAGTATAGTTCAGTTTTGTAGTGGAGCACTGGGAACCCTGTACAGCTATTTTCACCTCCTGCCTGAGAAGCACTACAGACTTCACTACAGTTCTGATACAACAAAGCTTTGGGGAGGGAGAGAGGGAAAGAAGACCTTCTTCCTCAAAAAAAGATTAACATAGATCCATGCCAGTATATTGAGGTCTTATATTTAAGACATATATTTATATATGATCTATATTAATCTTATATTTAGATCTAAATAAAAATATTTAGATAAAATATTAGATAAAATATTTAGATAAAATATTAAATACTGTATCATATGTAGATCATAAATTTAGAACTGTAGTATTTCTAATTCTATACCCTGTTGTTTTTGTAATGTGTGTGGACAGCACAGTACTTGTACTCATATTAAAAACAAACAAGTCTGTCCCAGATTTGGAATTAGGCACATAAGTAAATTTACTTTCTGTACTAAAACAAAAACAGTTGTAAAATATGCTGAACATAACAAGCCATTGAACTTTACTTAAAGAGTAAACAAATACAAAATACCTGTTTTCATGAGCTTTAAATTCACACAGGCATTTTTGAGAGTCACAGCTGTAGAACCTTATAATTTCATCATCTCCAGCTATGGCAAGGATAGAATCCTTGGAATGGGAAAAAAAGAAATGCAAGCGTGATTAATTTCAAGTGTTTCAAAATATTTAATTTCCCAGTACCTTTCTTTTTTGTACTTACTGTAATAAATCTAAGTGAAGAAATTCTCTTCTCTGTTGTGATAGTGCCAGTGATTGAAGCTGTGTCAAGTTTGTAGATATCCACTTTATTTGTTAGCACGGTCACATACCTCTCTCCATCAGGGGACCATTTAATTATGTGGGCATCTGTACACATTTATCATACATTTATATGCACATGTACACAGTTTTCTGCATTCTATATTGCATAAGAATCTAAAAGTAAGAATCTTTAGAAGCTGCTAGACACTGTTTTCTACCTAAGCCTGAGAAAAATTCAGGAAAAAAAATCAAATAATCTAGAATAAACAAGTAAAACAATGCTCTTAAATGTTTATTTCTGATTATCAGAAGTGTATAAAGTAAAAAAGTAAAAACAAAACACACCTATTTAAATGTCCTGAAATCAAATTTCAAGGAAAAAAAGGTAATTTAGTGTGACTATATTTTCCTTTTGGCAAATTATTATCTTTAAGGATTTATGCTTACATATGCTTGCCTGCATGTGTAAAAAAGACATTGTTAAAGTTGCTTGCGATTAACTGACTTGTTGAATAATTCAGTCTACTTTTCTTTACCTAAAAAATAAAACCATCTAGTTTCACTTAGTAGTGGATTTAAACTGATAAACTCACTTTGCTTCAGGTTTTTGATAAAGGCTGACCGTCCTTCTACAAGATTCCAAGTTCTGAAAGACAACAACAGATAATGTGCATTCAGGTTAAAAACAGCACAGTGAAACTGAAGTCCTATCTGCTGACATGAAGCATACAAAAGAAGCTTTTAAGCATCTCTGCATTTTGCTGCCTTCTTAATGCAACAGAAAGTGATGACTTGTTATATTGCTTGCACACTGTAAGACTGAATTAGTGATATTTATTTTATAAACCACTGCTTGTAATGCAGAGCCCAAAAGGAGCCCAATAACAATTTGTCCTATTAAAATAGCATTTTATATATTTAAACCACGTATATACAGCAACATGTACATGCTCCAAATGAAATTACTTTTTTCACACTGAACAAAACCTGACAGCTTTCAGAAGTTTAAATAAATTGTGTTCCAAAATGCAAATGTATTTATAAATCTACAAGCAACTATAAAGAGTCAGAGCATAACAAGGGGCTATGAGCAGCAAGGACTATTTTTAAAAGACTTTAAAATATTGCTGGTACCTAGAACTTAAAAGACAAACCAATGGACCTTTGAACCATTTGATATCCAAATACGTTTTATCAGTGTTGCATGGTCTAGCGTCAACAAGGAATTCTTGCTTAGAACAACTTAAGTAAGAGTTACTGAACTATGATTCTCAGCATTTCTTCATGAGTTTTGACTCACCTTAATGTTTTATCCGTTCCTACTGATAAAGCTAATTTCCCAGAAGGATGAATAGAGAGAGATGTCACGTGCCCCCTGATTAAAAAAAAACAAAAACAACATATTAGCCACATATATTATTTCCAAGAAGATAAACATGAAAACTCATGTGAATATGCAGATTTAAGAAACTCACTTATGGGCCTTAATGGATTTCAGGCATTCCCATCTCTTTGTGTTCCAGATACAAATTAGTCCATCTTCAGCCCCACTCAGAAGATGGGCAGTACCATAGAACTCCAAACAAGTTATTGTGCCTACAAAATCCAAACGAGAGCTATTAACGATGTTTTACATACTGAACATTTTCTCAGAGAGAATGTATTAATTAACAGAGAAGGTTCTAGCATCAAAACATGCCAGTTACTACCCTACCCTTGGGCAAATCTGAATTATTTCCCAAGTATTTCTTCACAACTTTCTTGTTATCGTCAATCACTGATGTGCTCTATCAGCCCCACTATAGCCATACGTATCTGGTCCATTCCCTGAAAGAGCAGTACTCAACCGCTGTGGGTCAGGTGATACAGAGCTTCTCTTAGTCGTAAGGAATGTTCCTATGTCAAAGCCCTGCTCTTGACACAGTTAAATTTACTGCACATGCTGCTTCCCATAAGCACCGTATTTATCACGCATGAGTTGAACACAGATACCACATTCAGTCTAGCTCCATGTACTTCTTGGTTATCAGGAGAAAAAGGACAATCAGGACTGAGCTACAAATGACTTGGTACAGCCTGCTCTCGCACAGAAACTCTCACTTTTGTGTGGCTCACGTGTGTCTGTGACAGGACAAGGACACTGGGAAAAATGGTTATTTGGAGTAGGCATGGTCTACATAAACTGTCCTGATAGAACAAAAATGGCTCATGAGCCATTTGTGGGCCATAAGTTCTTAAACAGTTAAAACTAAAAATAATTGGAAGCAGCAGCTATGTTTGTGGGCTAATACCCAAATTTATTTTTGGATTTTTATGCTCAAAAGCTTACCTTGCTTGTATTGCCAGGCCACTATGGCTGCAACACCATCACTATTAAAGACTTATTAAAAAAATTTAATTTTCTTCTTGTGGCAAGGGTCAGTTTTTCAGCTATACGTTTCTACCACTAATGCTTTTTATGAAGAAAAGCTTCCTTACCATTGTGCTGCAGCAGTGCCCCATGTTCTATCTTCTTTTTCATGTCATAGATTTGGATTGTCTCATCTCTGCTCCCTGTCACCACATATCTGTTATTCACTGCTACCGCTGACAATGAGGCAGAGTGGGCATGATGTGTAAAATCAGGGACAACCGTCCAGGACTGTAAATGAAATACAAAATAAACAGGTAATAGGACAAGGGGTAATGGTTTTAAACTAAAAGAGGAGAGGTTTAGACTAGATATAGGTAAGAAATATTTTACGCTGAGGGTGGTGAAACACTGGAACAGGTTGCCCAGGGAGGTGGTAGATACCCCGTCCCTGGAAACATTCAAGGTCAGGTTGGACGGGGCTCTGGGCAACCTGATCTAGTGGAAGATGTCCCTGCTCACTGCAGGGGGTTGGACTAGATGACCCCCATGGTCCCTTCCAACTCAAACCATTCTATGACTCTATAGGTCTTTCTGAAGCTTACCGTATGAGCTTCAACTTCATCATGCTGTAATTTTTTTTTAAAAAAAAGCAAAATCTTGAGAAGTATATGTGCAAAATGCAAAGGAATTATACTTAGCTACAGGTATAATGGGATATTATTGAATTAATGCACTGTGAGGAGATTATCCCGAACGATTTAAGTGTGCAAACTACTAATCAGTGTTCGGCTTAGACGAAGCTGTATGTGAGGCAGTATCCGCACAGAGATAAATCTCATGGACAAGGGAGGAGGCTTCTCCCATCCTCCACCACTGCAGGCCGGAGACACGC